CCCAGAATAATATATATTTAGACCTTTATGGAAAGACGGAAACCGATTTAGGCACCCATGCAGCACGGAAAATACGATACTGGTGGTTTCTGTATGAATATTGACGAGTGACTGACTCCACACCCAATAAAGATGTGTCACTTCAGTGACGGTGTTTTTTGTCACCTTCGGTCTTTTCCAAGTTTTTGTGCGGTTTGATGAGACTTATCGCTGAGACAACGGCGTCTAAGTGGAACCTCGTTGTCAGAAACGTAGCCAAGCGTAAAGTCGTCGCGTCCAAGAATGTCGTTAATCATAGCTTGCATACATTCTTGATAGCACACTGAATCACTTGACTGGCGTTCGACTCATGTTTGGTTGACTTCGGAATGTAGAATGGCGCATCAACGGCGTAAATGTCCATTTAACTTGAAATTTAAAAACTGTTTTATACATTTTGAAATTGATACACAAGTGTCTGTTTGATATTTTTATGTGAAATACTAGTATTACATGATTTATTTCATACGGAGAATATTCTACTTGTAAATGTAGATACATATAATAGCGATATAAGATAGGAGTGTTGTTGCACACAGTGAGTGAGTGAGTGAGTATGGTTTAATAGTCCGTTTGCTCCAAAATCGTACAGATGAATTCCTAATTACAAGGAGTTACAAGTAATATTTGTCAACAATTTTCACATCTTTTTTATTTGTTTTCCTGTACCAACTCATGATGTAACTTTGGCACATGGATATAAAGTAATTAAAAAACGTTGCTTAACAAATTATCATAAGACTGCTGTTGTTATAATACATTTAGTTACACGGGAGGCTGTACAATCACTGTAACAGCCGAACACGATGGATAGTCCCGGGGACAGTCTCAAAACTTTACTCTTAATATTCACTGTCACTGTGGTCACTAACATCACTGTCAACTGAGATCATATGGGCTGAACTGTTGCATGGTGTAAATCATCACGTCTCCAGTATGCGGATTCCACATCTCTCACAATTATCGCTACACACCTGGCCCAAACCTCCTGCGAAATGTTTCCAAGACTCTGAGTCACAAGTTTTTGAACATCTGATAGTTTAAACGTCTCGTTTTGTCTGTCAACATCACCTTTTACAATACCCCAGATCATTTCGATGGGGTTCAAGTCACAATGGTAAGGGGTAGACGAAGAACACCATGTCCATGTGCATGTGACAGTTTGTCCACTTTGTACACCGGTTTGGTCTTATTCGGCTTGATGACTTCATACAGTTCAGGTTTTGTTGCTATTGTTGGAAAGGGAACATTGCTCGTCTGCAACCAAGTTATCATGTCTCCTTTCCGTGGGTTTGACGTTGGCATCTTCGTGTTCAGATCCTGCACACTGTGGTAAGAGGCCTTCTCCTTAATGATGAGGGACTTCTTTGGCAGACCAGGAAGCAGTTGTTTCTCCGTCCACTCCAGGAACTAGGGTTGCGCAATATAACCGGTTCAGACATGAAGACGATACGTATTGCGATACGCTGATCGAAAACCGGTATTTTGACATGCATTCGGAAAACTTCGTAACAGTCGGAAATCTTCGGATATTTCCGTTTTTTTAATTGTTCTTTTCCCTGTTTCATTAGTGCCAAATGTTACTTACATTTTTATTTTGTCATGATTAAAAGTTTTTATAAAAGGTTAATCAATCATAGTGATTTTGTTGTGTTTTTGCTTTATAATCAAGCAATTACTCGATTATAAGTGGTTTTTGTTAAAAAAATAATCCTTGCAATATATTGCAATACATATCGCAATATAGGCTTCCGCATCGCAATATATCGCAATATGAAAATTCTCTGCAATACCCACCCCTACCAGGAACACAGAGCCATTCATCTCTGTATGGTAGACCCTGTTGTCTTTCGATTTCACATCCTGGCAGAAGTCCTGTACCTTCACAGCCAGCATGTAAAATGATAAGTCTCTCTCCTTTGCCAAGTTTGCGTGACGTCTTGGCGTAAGAGGCAACCCATTGATGTTGTGCCGTATGACATGCATTCATCCTGGTCTTATCAAGGTAGATAATCTCGTATCCCCCTTCTCTCTTCTGAATGAATGGTACGAAGATAATTGTTCCTCAAAGAGACGACGTCATTTCTCTCACACAAAACATGTCTTGTCTCTCCTGAGATCTTATTGTAGCAATATCCAAAAGAATGCAATAACTTCCATAACTTCCAAAGACAACGTTTGAACACAATCAACGAAAATTCTTTCTTCATGTATGATTTCAATAATCGTAATGAAATGAACTGTTTTCTGCAAACAGTTTTCGGATTGCATCTCTTACAATTTTCTTTTGAAAACTGTCAAGTCAATTTAATGAAATTGATTTTGAGACGACCCCGTTATTTGTCCTGTCTATCTCATACCGCTTCTGCGAAATGTATGTCAGTTTACGTTCAGTAATACCAAGAGCCTTGGCAGATCGCTCCCGATATTTAGGAACGGATCAAACACACACCCACCCACCCACCCACCCCACCCCCCCCCTCTCTCTCTCCTTCAGTCTTATTAAAGCTATAAACTTGACAGACAAGCTTCTCCATATCATCCGTGAACGTCATAATGTACCGTCTTTATGAAAGCGTTCGCATTTAATTATATATTAATATATATATATATATGTGTGTGTGTTTGATATGGGATATGGGATACATGTGATATGTATTATGTATACATGGGTTTCATTTGAAGGGAATGTTTATATTATCGCATAAATGTATGAACTGTATAAAGATTTTATTTTCACCACTGAATTATATTAATTCAAAATAAATTTGATATCTAACAATCGATGTTCCTTTTAAGATGTGTGCACTTGAATTCCACCATATACGGTAAAGCCCTTGCGCGAATGATCACACTGACATATATTTCTCGTGCACAACAATCGGCTGTTACAGTGATTGTACAGCCTCCCGTGTAACTAAATGTATTAAAACAACAGCAGTCTTATAATAAATCGTTAAACAACTTTTTTTTATTACTTTGTATCAATGCGCCAAATTTACGTCATGATTTGGTACATGAAAACCAGTGAGGAAAGATGTGAAAATTGTTGACGAATATTACTTGTAACTCCTTGTAATTAGGAATTCATCGGTACGATTTTAGAGCAAACGGACTATAGCAGTATTCCTACATCACAAGAGCAATATCAAAGAAATCGTGTTGTTGGGCGACACGTATAGGAAGAATCGTGATCGAGGTGATTATAACATTATAATTATTCCAATGTCACACAGTCTCTGTCAGCTACAGTCCGTTTGTGGGGCGATGGGGTAGCCTAGTGGTTAAAGCGTTGGCTCGTCATGCCGAAGACCCGGGTTCGAATCCCCACATGGGTACAATGTGTGAAGCCCATTTCTGGTGTCCCCCGCCGTGATGTTGCTAAAAGCGGCGTAAAACCAAACTCAGTCAGTCAGTACAGTCCTTTTGCTTTCATTTGAGACCGATGACTTGCTCACTAACACAAAATCTAATAATTGTAAGAAAACCAAATTTTGCACAGTCACATGAAATCGACAGACCAACTCGTCTCATAATTTTAGACACCCGAATAAAAAAGTTGTTTAACAAACATTATTTTGTTGTCACTTTACCCTTTTTTTTCGAGGGGGACCACTTGCTGATAGAACAGCCAGGTATTCACCAACAGAAAAAACACAGTCGATTGAGATTGTTATAATCAGTGGTTACCATTTGCAGGCAGCCGTGAAGATGCGGGTTAGAATTGGTCTTCAGTAACCCATGCTTGTCGTAAGAGGCGACTAACGGGATCGGGTGGTCAGGCTCGCTGACTTGATTGACACATGTCATCGGTTCCCAATTGCATAGCTCGATGCTCAAGCTGTTGATCACAGGATCGTCAGGTCCATGCTCTATTATTTAAAGACCGCCACCATATATCTGGAATATTGCTTAGAGCGGCGTAAAACCTCACTCACTCACTCACATCCATGTCTGCAACCCAAACTATGGTCCTGTCGGTTTCCGTTCAAACTGCGAAAAACATAAGTCAGCTACGTGCATGTAGGAGATGAATAATACCATATATATGGCATATTGCTGAGTGAAGGGTTAAACAACAAACAACATAATCGATTCACAGCCACTGTAGAGGTGGTTTATTTTACGAAAATCTGATTTGAAGTTAAACAGAAAGTTGACTAGAATGTTGTATTTAACACACATTTCCTTCAACGTTCACACACAACATCTGAACGCATGGCGTTACACATCAGTGATGTATATACTGAGGAGCAAAAGAAACTACACCTAGTTTGCTTTCTATGAAATAAAAACCTGACGAAAACGTTAAATTTCATAATGTCCTTTCACCACTCCATAAACTCATGTGTGCATCATCGTGTAACAAATAGTCTATGCCTGGAGTTTTGTGTCAAGTTAAATTGGTTCAATGAAGACTGGGGTAAGAAATATATTCGCAACCACGTGAAACCTACCATGATCGAAAAGTTAAAATTTACCCCGAATGTATCCAATTTTCAATGATGTCTAAGGTACTATCAACAGTTTTCTGTTGTTTTCTTTTAAGTTTGAATAGTTTTAAATCAAAATATATTTTTCACAAATATAACCATGACGTGTATGTATTCTCGGAGTGATGACGTAGCGCAGTTCACCTTCAGGGCATAACATCACTACGTAAAGCAAATACTTGACAAAACAACTGAGAGGTGTGGTTTCTTTTGATCCTCACTTCATTATGTGTAAACATTCATCTAACCATATCTTTAAATAGATATGAATACCGCACGGCAACATAGAACAACACGGCAACACAACATAGAACGCGGCAACATAGAACGCGGCAACATAGAACACGGCAACATAGAGCACAATACATACAAACGTGTAGTTCTTTGTAATATTTTAGCTGTAGTATAATCAATCTGGTTTGGAGTTTTGCCTTTCATAATCAATATGATTATTTAGGGTTTGATATGGCCCTTCATCACCAATAAAATTCTGTTGGGTTTGAAAACCAGGACTAAACTGGTGTTGGAGCAGTTATAAGCAGCACATATTTAAACAACGTCCACGACGTAACAAGGATACAAATAAAGCGTTACTGACCATTAAACGACGGCCCATGCTGAGGCAAAGCGGGAAAACGCGAGAATGAGCAGAATAGTTCAACATTATCGGGAAGATTAATAATATAAAACGTGTTTAATGTTCTAAAGCAATACTGCATCGTCTGTGTGATAACGCTGTTCCTTACCAAAAGAGATATATGTCATAAAAATAATTTCTCGGTAATTTTTTTATCATCCCCTCATGCCTGTCATAGCGTTGGCAAAAATCGATAAGTTGAGTTTTCCTTCATCGGGTTAAATGACCAAAGGGAGATAACTCATGTAAAGGTATTGTGAGCCGCCACATTCTTCAAAGCGATCCAAATGCGATGTGATTGTGACTCCCGTGTTTTTAACGAAGACATACGACCGTCGTAACGCTTTGGATATAACACCGTGACATGTCTACATACAAACACCGAGACAGCTCAAACTGACTGTGGTATATATATAAAAAAAATTCCTTTACAAATGTACAAATATAACAGCTCAAACTGACTGTGGTATAAATTCCACTACAGTCTTGTACAAATATAACAGCTCAAACTGACTGTGGTATAAATTCATCTACATTCTTGTACAAATATAACAGCTCAAACTGACTTTGGTATAAATTCCTCTACAGTCTTGTACAAATATAACAGTCATCTCATCCAATTGTTTGGGACTCTATAAAAGCGAAATATCTCGCTTGAAACATAACATTAAAGTTACATATCACAATTTACCTGAGGAAAATACGAATCTGTGTCAACTGAAACTGTCCTGTGTTTAGGAAGGATGTACCCTCTTCCCCGATATCGTCTCCGGTTAACCCGAAGATTGTTGTTAACTCGAAGTGACTACATGTTCGTCTCTTGTTTCAAATTACAAACGTAATTTTGACTTCCTGGTACAGGGTCAGTTGGCAAATGGAAACTTATTGTGAAAGTACATACCAACTATTCGTCGCGTTAACCTTGACGTCACGTCACGTCACGTGACACCATTTTTCGAAGTAGAAGGTAATTATAGATTAAAAGTTGTGGGGAAAAGCAAAATGTCTCGAATACCATGAACTCATTCGCATATGTGTTTTAACCTGCGATTTCCGTCACCATTTGTGTATGAATCTGACATTCGGTTCCTATCAGTCTACGGAATGGCGGCAGTAATGGTTTAAGAATCGTGATGGAATGACGCATGCGTAGTGCGTGTCCACGGGTTAAGCGCACCACCAGTTTCCGCTCCTTCCGAAGATCTCGATGAGGTAGGTGTTCATGAACATGTCACAAGGGTCCACCTGTGCCAGTTTCCGCATCCTTTGGAAGTGGTCCAGATTGTCACCGTAGACGAGTTTGATGTGGTCAATGATGCCGGGAATGTTGTCGTGGCGTTTTCCCCAGTGGGGTCTGACCTTCTGGTCGCGGAAATGGTCAACAAACTGGAAGAAAAATGATGATGAAAGATTAGTTTATGCCACATCGCAGAATAACGAACGGCAACACTCGTATCCTTCCGGGATCGCTTCCGCCCATTGGAAAACCGTTTCCGAAAACTTTCCGTGAATTGTGCAAAGGATAAACATGATTGGTCGCGAATGCAGCTCGAAAACTTTCCGGAAATTGGCGAGTGATATAATTGGTATAATTGGCTTATATGGTCACAAAGAATTCGACACTTTGATTTAGTTGTGATCAATCCACAGAAATAGAGTTATCTGCCCCTGCATTAACGCTTCGCCCCAGCTAGCTGGCTGTACAAAATTTAGCATGCGCTGTTTAGACAGGGGGCCAGTTTAAGAGTTCTTCACGCTTGACGATGCTTAAATGACACCAAAGCAAGTCAACGCTTCACAGCATGTGTACATACCTTCCTGGCGGTGGGGTAGAAGCCGTACTGTGCAGGGGGAGCCAGGAAGTCGATGACGAGGGTGCGGTTACTGTCGTCGGGCTGGGAGATGTCGTAGTTGCCGGGGCAGAGGTCGCAGTCCGAGTTCTCGAAGAAGCGGGGAAGGAGGGCGTTCAGTGGGGTGGAGCCGTTAGCCTTGATCTGATTCTCGGCCTCCTCGATGATGAACTGGAGGAAACATGCAAATTAAAAGTGTTTAATCGACAAATGTCTTGATTAGTGATGTCGGGTCCCGCTCCCAGCTCTCTTTAAACTGGAGGCGGTGGGGTCGTCCAGTGGCTAAAACGTAGCTCGTCACGCCGAAGTCCCGGGTTCGATTCCCCACTTGGGTACAATGTGGAAAGCCCATTTCTGGTGTCCACCGCCGTTACCGCCGTGATATTGCTGGAATATTGCTAAAAGCGGCGTAAAACCATACTCACTCACTATAAACTGGATCGGGTGGTGAGGCTCGGTGACTTAACTCTGGTCTTCGTATCACGGGAAGTGGTTTACAAAATGACATCACCCACTTGCCTGGCCGAAGTCTATGATACACGTTCATACAAGACTTCGCGAAATGAATTTTCAAACACACTCAGAGAAACTTTATAAGATCGAACCCTTAAAAACAGAGATGTTTATGGGCGTCTACATTAAAATATGACGTCATTCTTTCTGACCACTTAGTTTTTTTGTGTTGCGTTATTTGAGATCCTCCCAATTGTAAGGCCCTCCCTCACTGCACCATCTGCGACGTATGTCTCACAGTGTAGCAAGAGGACAAGTATGATTTTATTACGCTTCATATGTTTTGTTGATACGATACCAAACTCAGTGCATGGGTTGCTTGCGACCATTTTTCAGTAATTGAGCTTCATATATCACCCTTTCTCGGCATTGAGGAGGGAGCCGTGAGTCACAGAGGGAAACATGGTATTCCGGTTTCAGGGGAGACGACTCTTGTCAGGTGTAGACCGGCAGACCAATGACTGTAAGTATTAACAGCAATCCATGCCACTTGGGCGCCAAACGTCTCTGTCCTCCAATCACAGATCGCTAACCGATGTGTTTGTTTGTTGTTTAACGCCGAACTCAGCAATATAGCAGCTATACGGCGGCGGTCTGTAAATTATCGAGTCTGGACCAGACAATTCAGTGATAAAAAAGTATGAACATCGATCTACGCAGTTGGGATACAATGACACGTGTCAACCAAGTCAACAAGCCTCGCCACCCTAACGCATTAGTCCCCTCTTACGACAATCATGGATTTTAGAAGACCAATCCTAACCCGGATCTTCACGGGTCAAAAACTAGTTCCTTATAGAGTATCTGTTACAACAACTGGAGGCCTTCAGGGAATGGGGGAACTACGGGAGGGGCCTTACCTGTAAGGCTGCTGCCGCTCTGGTGAACTGGTTATCTATGTTGAGCATGAAGGCGGCGCTGGTTTCTGTCCCCCATCTTGGCGGGAGTATGACGGGAAATGCGTTGACAAGATGGTGGTAGCTGACGGTCGGGACACGTTTAGCAATGGCCACGGCCTCCTGAAAATAGGATGACGTGTCAAGACTAAACAGTTTTAGCTCTGAACATTAGAGTGAGTGAGTGAGTTAATATTTAACGTCACATCGGCAATATATCAGCCATATCGTGACGATCTGAACATTAGACCACATACAGATTCTTGTGTGTATTTTTACAGAACAATAGATGATGAAGAAAAACAGGACTTGTTAGTTTTAACGAAAAAAACACATATTACATGTCTCCTTTCATCAACAATTTTAGTGCTATATCTTGATGATTCCGCCTCGTAAACTGTATCCACGGCAAGTGTCTATTGAACTTACCCTTCCTCGGAGAAGGCTTTTCTCACTGCCTCCGGACAGTGACCCTTTAGTGGGGAGGAAGTGGGTGGGCTCTAGGGGTCTTCCTCCGAGCTCAGCCTCGCTGACGATGGTGATAGATCTGTAAAATCAACATCATCATGATAATCATCATCATCATTACCATCATCTACGGGCCTAGTGGTCAAGCCGCAGAGCTGGGTTTGGTTTCCCTTATTGGTACAATGTGTGAAGCTCATTTCTGGAAAAATGCTAAAAGCAGCGTAAAACGTAACACAGTCATTCATCGTCATCATCATCATCATCATCATCATTGCCTGAATAACGGTATGACTGAAACTCTGTTCGTAAGAGTGTCTTCACTCACTCACCCAGCAACTCACTTACTCACTCAGCCACTCACTCACTCAGTACCTAAGCCAGATGAAGTCCCGCTTGGCGTTCCAGGCAGTCGGTATTGTGCCGTCCTTCCTGTAGTCTTCGGCCTCAGCGTCCGTGACGGAGTTGAAGGGGAACCAGGAAATCTCCGTGAGGAAGTTGCCGGTGACGGTGTCGCGCAGGGCTGTGTGGTTGTAGATGATAGAGTCGAGGGGAACGAACTGGTTGTGTACTTTGGCTATCAGGGTGGGGTATACCTGGTCAAACAAGAAACGTGTCACGTGACATATGTACCGGATGGGGGTTGAACAGTGAGTTCTGTATGTCAGCAGCTCTGTTTTAAGTATAACTAGATCATATTTTAAGTATAACTAGATCATATATTTAAAGTATAACTAGATCATATTTTTCATCAATTTTTTGTTTAACTAAGTCGCACAGTTGTTTTAAGGTTAAATGGCCTACTCAGCTCATATTTTTCATCATAAAAAAGATGTTTTAAGTTCAGGTATCTCTCTCAGATCATATTCTTCGTCAAAATGTAGGTTAACATGATTACACGGTGCTAGTTACGGTGAAACCATTAGAATGTACCAGAATGTATGGATCACAATCAGCGTTACAAGGGAAAGATGGTTGGTTGGTTTGTTGTTTTACGCCGCACTGAGTAATATTATATATGTCAGCAGTCTGTAAATAATCGAGTCTGGACCAGACAATCCAGTGATCAACAGCATGAGAAGTGAGCGGTGAAACGGTCGTAAAATCACAGACCCTCTTCAATCCGAATGGTTCAGATTTTGTCTACAGGGGCTTGTAACGCAGAAACATATCAGGGGATCTTTTTTTATATAGTACTGACACTGGTTGTGTCTATATATCATGCAGGTACTAAGTTTGAAACTCCCGGTGCCTTGTTCGCCTTAACTGAACAATCAGAATCAGGAATACCGATACATACAAACATTTGTATAGCGCTAATATCCAGTACAACTGCTCAAAGGCGCTTTGTTTTCCCTCGATCATTGGATGTCCCTGGGGTTCATACAACTCTTGCTGCCTACTAGGCGCACCGGGTTAATGTGGCTTTCCCATCCTAACGAGGCACCCATTCACAGCTGGGTGGACTGGGACACATAGTCACAGTACTTTGTCCAACTCTGCTGCACGTTGCTGTACCCGCAACTAGGTGTTTGAACGTATTCATGTGGCCACCATCTGGTCATCTACCAACGGATTCGTGGGTTCTTTTAAGTGCACAGGGTTGTGTACTGTACACTAGGGGTTGTGACAACACTGAAAGTGTTAATGTCCGATTACACTGACCACTGATTGGTCGCAGTGCGTTCCCCATAGTTCCTCACGCTGTTAGCCACCGGTTTGTCCGGTAGAAGTAAACAACACCCGCTACAACCGCCGTCAGTTTGATATTTCAGCAGAGTTATCTGTATTTACTATGCCAGCTTTGAACCCATGTGGGAATCGAACCCGGATCTTCGGCGTGACGAGTGAACGCTTTAACCACTAGACTACCCCGCCGCCTCTCTTATTTATTTACCTTACACTATCCCAGCAGTCTTACCTGTATACCCTCTAATTACGTTAAAACTACCCCAGCAGCCTTACCTGTATGGTGATGTCGTACATGATGCCGAACATCCCCAGGTTACAGATGACGGCTTTCATCAGTTCCGGGTGCCTCTCTATGGTGAACCGCCGGAGTCGGCCACTGGAGTCCATCAATCGCAGCTCCCTCACGTACCCACTGTAGGTCGGGGCGCTCCACGTCGACCCCTGGCGGGAGGAAGGGGAGGTTACTCACAACCATTGATTGAATCCATAATGGCTCATTAAAATCGTTTAACGCTTCCACAGAAATAAACAGGTCTGATACTTTTCGGTAATAATTCGTGTGTGCATCACTGAACTGGAGACATGTTTAATTTTTGTTGTGATTAGTTTAACACTGGCGGAGCTGCCTATGTGTCCCTTACTGCCTTCTCCAATGGGTTGTAAGAGACGGGATATATTTTCGTAGCTCAGCAATTTATAATCAAAACATGTTTTGTTTGCAAGGACACGTATCATACATGCACTGAAGGTAATTATTTCTATGGGGTATTAAAACTGAATTCAGGTTTTTCATGACCAATTTTGTTTTAAACTACAATGGAGGTCTACTGACGTGTGTGGCTGCGGCGACCATCCCTCCAAATGTCTCGTTCACGTTGAGTGGCTGTGACAGCATTGTGACGTCATTCCGGACCATGAACTCATTCAGATCGTATTCATATACGCCAGTCATCGCTGTCAACGTCTTGTAGTTCCGGATGTTGTTCTGTAGCAGAAACATATATGATGTATACAGAGGAACCTCGCTATTTCGAAACCCTCACTTTCTGAACGGTTTCTGTTCATTTGGATTGTTAGTGTGTTGAAATATGTATTTAGACTGTGGCTTAGTGGATTGGGGGTCTCCATTGAGTAGGTCAGAAGTTAAATCCCCAGTCGCGTCATACCAAAGGATGTTAAAAGATGGTACTTTTTGTTGCCCTGCCTGGCGCTCGACATTACGGGAAACAAGTACAAGTCGGTTTGGAGTAAGGCTATTCATGTTAAACATGCGTCGTGTTAACAAATTGTCTTTAATGGCGTACTGTATACTGGCATGGTGGTGAGGTGAGGTTTAACGTCGCACTTAAGAATATTTCGCTCATATGACGACGTGCATGCGTGTGTATGTGTATGTGCGGCTACTTGTACTAGCCCAGACTGAAGCTGGTTTTATAGTGCTAGACCACTGAGATACCCCACTCAGACACATTATACTGACTCCGAGCCGACCAGTCCTTGTTGTACCCATTAATGCCGAGCGCCAGGCAGGGACCAACAAGTACCATATCTTAACGTTTTTTGGTATGACGCGACCGGGGATCGAACCCGCGACCTTCCGCTCTCCGGACCGACGCTCTAACCACTACACCGGTCCACGAGAGATGGATAAACTTTCAACACTAATGTTTTTGTGACACAGCTTCTTAGAAATGGCTGGATAATTTCATGCCGTTAGTAGCAGGGCCATCCGTTTTTCCAAGAACCCGTGTGATTTCAGGACGACACAGCCGAGATGGTTCCACACAATGAGTCCTGGAAAACATACCTCGGGGTTGATCTGCATCCGGGGCCCATCATGTCTCTCCAGATCTCGGACATCCATCATGATGTTGCCTTCGTCAACATACAGAGGTGATCGGCTATGTCCGGCCCCAGTCGCCCTAACGCGCATGCCCAGATGCCTAGCCACCAGGATGATGCGTCTGACCTGTTACGACAAAAACACATAATGCGTTAATCAACACGTCACCTGTATTCGTTCAGAGCTGTTTAAACATCTAGCGGGAGTAGTCATATCCATAGCAACAGCGTCGTTTTACGGATGTGGTTTGCAGTTAAACAGTGTGCCGAAATATTCCAGCTTTTTGGCGACAGTCTCTTAATAATCGAGTCTAGAGGAGACAAGTCTCTGATTCACATTATGAGCGTCGATTTTCGATTTAAAGATACGATGACATGCATCAACAAGTCAGCTGGCCCGACCACCCGATCCAGTTAGTGGCCTTTTACGACAAGCATGGGTTGCTGGATTTCAGTCGTTACCCGGATCTTCACAGGAAATGAAGAATGTCGTCTGCTCTCTGAATGTTTTGGCACTTCACGATTTTGAATAAGTTCTAATTCCTTCATCATGCTAGACTAATGCTTAGTCTCTGAATATATATACTTTTGATAATAACAAACAAGCCGATTTAAATTGAAAAGGAGCCCTAGAAAGGACCAGAGATTCAGAACCTGAGGAAATCTAGACTTGCTATATTTAGAGCTTTAGCACTGCAGAGAGGGCTTGGCAGTAGGGACAATAATGTGGTTCAGAGACTGAGACAAGCTATCATCATGCTATAGCAATTTGTTACACCAAATAGGAACACCATAAGCCTCTTATAGAGTTACTTACCTTTCCTGTTCTCAAAATCACTATGGCACAATCATTGATTCACAATATCATAGTACTGACACGTGCACGTCGTAAGAGACAGCAGGCTCGGCAATTCTGTTAAAGGGTTAACCAGAATTCGCTGGTTTGGGTTTTAGGTTCACCCGAAACAAAAAACAAATTGTGCTTGTAGCTTCCATAAAGTACTGGGATTGGTTCTTAAATCGTTTTGTGTGAAGTCCCCCGGCGTGATATTGCTGGAATATTGCTAAAAACGGCGTCAAAACTAAACTCACTCACTCACTCTTACATCGTTCGCTCGTCATACAGAAGGCTTGAGACAGTTCCCCAAAACAATGTTTGTATCTCATTTCTGATGTTCCCAACTATCCACCGCCACATCACATACCAAGCATACTCATTCACTCACTCAATCACTCACTCACTCACTCACGCACGCACGCACTCAGAAAGTCGTACGCGTGTACGTCCTGTACTCACACGTCAATCTTTTAAAATTAAACAACATGATGTAAGTACAAATAATGAAAATACTCAAAACCAACACACTGGTATGTTTCTGTTGAACGACCCGATGCTCGAGGGAAAATATATCAGCGCCTTGAGCAAGCACTAGTTGCCTGGATATGTGCGCTATATAAGTATCATATAATAAATAAATAAATGCTGCTATGTATAGACGGAACCTAGTTCACACTAACCTGGTAGATGCTGGTAGGTCTGGTGTAGAAGAGGTTGTCGATGTTGATGGTTTTGTCCCAGTTGACGTAGTGGTAAATCTCAATTTTAGGCTCCCTCCCGATCAGGATTTTGAGAATAGACAGCAGACTGCGCATGCGATAGTATACCTCTGAAACCGTGACCGGAAGTAGGATGTCAATCGCCATCGTTTGACGTGCATCTCAAACACAAATGTGTCAGAACAGATTGTACGTTGTCCTTACACAGCCGCCAATAGACAACAAGTTGTGACTAAAACATTGCTCACTCACTCACTCTCCCTTTTTCTCAACACTCGCGTTTTTTCAAACTTCCTCATTTCCGCGCATGTATTTTATAGGATCCTCCTTATGTTAATTAATGATCTAATATTTCTCGATATAGACAAACTTCATGGATAACAACTTCTTTAGTTCGTCAGTGCGATGTTCCTATACAGATTCTTGTACCGTTGACTCGCGAAATAAAGAAGTTGTTATCCATAAAGTTTGTCTATATTGTACTTCCCAACTTCTAAATGCCACTCAAAGAAACTTAGATTTCTCGAATAAAGTGTCCATCCGTTATGGATTTCGGAATAGGCCCCGAGTTACGGAGGTAGCGGAACAGGCCGAATGGACCCGACTCGGGGAATCTAAAAAATCGCCTGAATCAGTGAAGTTTGAAAATGTTCACCTACCGTCACTTCTCTGAAACTCCGTGAGATCTCGTGCATGGCGTCGGCTGAGGGGCCCCATGATCTCCGACAGCGCTGTTGGCTTCCTCATCACAGAGCGCTTGGCTGCAACACAACACAAGCATACAATACACTGAGACAACAACCACGAGGACTGTCAAACTCTGATGTGTCGAACGTACGCTTATCTCGAAGTAAAGCCTTTATCCCTCCCGATTCTTTCTTTATTCATATATTTCCGGTTGTGTAGAACCTCTTATAACTCGAAGTATTGACGTAGATCCCCTCAAGTTCGACATAACTGTATTTGACTGTACTCATCTAACAGCCGGACCAGCAAACCGGGGGTTGACATCATGAACAGCGATCAGCGTTGATCAGCGTTCATTGATACATCGTCAACCAAATCACCAAACCCGACAACCCACAGCTGCCTTGGAACAAATTATCTCCATTCTTTGAAACCACAGGTGAAATAGGTATGGCAACATATATTCATTGATTCATTATATTTCCCATTTAGATTCTATTCATTATGACGTAAGTATCACTTGTGTTTCACATGACATTATTCAACGGCAACACAATGTACCTCTGTAGTTGGCTGGCTCGTCCCCCAGAGGGACAATGGTGTCCTCCAGACCTGCAACAAACACAATATTGTGTTAGAACAACAAGAGAAAGATTGAATGGCGCTGTAATATACCCGGCAATTGAGGACCACACTATCCGGTGACTGACATCATGAGCAACAATCCTATACAAAGCTCCATAACCAAGCAGCCATATAACTATAAATTTTCCCTAAACGAGGCGATGGGGTAGCATAGTGGTTCAGGTCTAGATGTTTAGGTGCCACCCCGAAAAAATTCTCCACTTGGGTTCTTTGAGTGAAGCCGATTTCCGGTGTCCCCCCTCCCTGATATTGCTCGAATATGGCTAAATGCGGCGTAAAACAAATCTCACGCACTAAACACATTAAAGTTATTCCGATATTCGTATCGTTCTTCAAGTAGATTGGCGTAGTCAAACAGCATCAGCTGAGATTCAATGAAATATTGCCTCAGATCGTGAGGCAGTAATTAGCATAGTCATAGTATGACGTAGAATCGAAACCATTGCGTGAAAAATCGGAGACTAAGATTTTAAACTGCCACTGTAGAATGAACTATGAATTAAGAATAAGATCAAATTGTTCAGTTACCTTCAAGACTGTCATCGAATTCACTGCTGCGGAGCGACCTTCCCTTTGTCAGGGATATGCATGTTGCAAGACAGAGCGTGATAGCCAACAACACCTTCATGATGAACTGTGAAGTGAAATATCAATACTTGACTGGATTTAGTTGTAAGAAATGTCGTCAGATACAAGTTTATTCTAATGTTCCTGTATTTAACAAAGGTAACTTGTTTTTTCTAAATTACCGTTTTATGATGGATATACAACTTCTTTTATTCTGTGGAGGCTTGTATATCCATAATAATTGTCATTATTCTTCATCAACTCAACTTCTAAAATGCCCTTCAAAGAAAGAAAAATTACCGTTTTGTTGAAAAATGTAACTTTTCGTAATAATCATAATTGGGTAATGTTAGGTTTGTTGAAACAGATTTCTTTCTTTTCAAAGTCCCTGAATCTTTTTGTTGTATTTTAAAAGAAACGACTCAAGTGAAATTTCGTTTTCACCAGAGTCAGCTTTTTGACTACACAATGATATTCGTGGTGACACGGGGTGCGCAGGGGAAAGCTAAGCTGGCTTCGTCTCTGCCTGCTTAGAGCCGTGTGGGCATAAACGAATTCGAAAATACATGTGTCATGGAGAAGCGAGGTTGTATGTGAGATTGTAGCATATTAAAGAGTAAACCTGGCACACACACACAACCAACCACTCACCCCTAAAATAGGTTGGAGAGAACTAATGAGAAACAGGACTATTATTTTACAGACCGTGACCACACCTCTCAAATGACTTTAAGTGTAGTGCTTAAAGAAAGGGTGTGAAATACTTGAGACTGAATAGGACGCCCAACTCCATAAGTACAGAGGCTGGCTGGGTGACCCCGCGGTTAAACAATCCGATCGAGCGTGAGACCAAAAGTCAGAAAATTATACTCTCAATCCAATATGTCATTCGTTCGCAATATTCATTATTTCATGGAGAAGAACATAGGATTTTGAACATACTTTTTTCCTACTCATCATAATTCATAGCATTGAAACACACGCACACACACGCAAGAACAAAGTGACTAGCATCACAGCTAAACCAAAAACAATAATTCACTTAAAACAATTGCTTGAATAAGTCAACAGTTAAATACATAACAACCCATCGCGCACAGACACACAGATACTCCCCTCCTCTCTCTCTCTCTTACACACAGACAATCACACACACTCTATCTCTCTCTCACACACACAAACACGGCATGTCTTACCTTGCTCTCTGAAATGTTATGGCTTTAATGTTTCTGCGCCTGATATTTATACGCTAAATACAGTCTTAAAATACACGTGAGTTATATATTTATATATATGCGTCAAACCTCCGTTCCGTGTCCGGAATGGAATCGAATGAGTTTGTTCCGTGTATGGATTCACTCCCTCCCCATCCCTCCAGTCCTATTCGCCCCCGCCGCACCGCTGACTTGTTTCTTATTCATGATAGGGGCGTGATGTTATCGCTATTTGGCCCTGATTGCACCCCGGTATTTACTATCGTTTTACTTAGATAACATATACCACGTGCTACGCTGCGATTTCTGTGAAGCTGTGTGTTATACAATGAAGTTTTCTGCACAGATCCGGATTGGGTCGGTGAAGGCAACTCGACAGGTAACTCGACAGGTAACTCACGTGGCAGGCGATCTTATCTGAGGTAGCGGCCTGTGACCTTCGCTGAATGAGAAGGCCAAAGCGCCGTACTCAGTCGGCAAATTAAGGGGGATGAAGACGCTGTATTTCGTGAGCACTTCTTTTTTCAAATAATCGATAAATTAGCAAATATGACTGATTTGATTGTTACTGATTTGTCTTCATCGGTATATTTATATTGCCGCTATAGAAATGATATATGAATGCATAATATAAATACATTTTATACATGATACAGTTCCCAGGATTTGAGTTAAAAATTTAGAAGAAACAGAGATCCAAAAGATAATATCTCACAGTTTGATTTTCAACTGAAAATGTTTAAGTAACAGGGACGTACGTAGAAACGGTTTTCAGAGTGTGTGTTGGTGTGTGTGCTAATTTATGAACCCCGAGTCCCACCTGTTCCTACGTCCCTGAGTAAGCAGTATTTTATATAAAATGAGCTATAATATTATAATATACATATACATTTCTTTGAAAACGTTATTTGATTTCAGAGTTTAAACAAATACAATACAATCGCACAGTTGCGGGCGTGTATCTCAGTAATTTCATCTTGAAACTTGCTAAATCTGGGGCTTTTCGTCACAAACTGACGTGTGTCTTAATTATATGTCTGAAAATTGATCAAATTTGAGGCTTTTCGTCACAAACAGGCGTGTGTCTCAGTACTCTCATCATGAAAATTGATACAGTTGGTTTTTCGGCACAAACATTAATTGACACGGAAAAGATCAACATTTAAAGAACTACATGAATGTCTCACCTAGTGTGTAGAATATTAATCGTCTTTTCACCAAATAGGAAATATTTAGGAATTTTATCAATTCCTTTCAAGTAATTTAGATTTAAATGATGATAATGAATTGGTACATGTTATTGCGGGGGAGAGGTTATTCCATAAATAAGCACAATCATAGATGACTTACGGAGAACTGTGGTTCGAAACTTTGGAATAGCCAAACAAAACTTGGTACGCAAATTATATTGAAAAATAGTTTCAGTAGATTGTGGAAGTAAGTCTATAAGATAATCAAGAGCTTGCATGTTAAAATTTTTGTAAAATGTACAAAGTTTCTTATGTGTACGTCTAATTTTTAAAGGTAACCAACCAGTTTCACTGTACAAACTAGCTCTTGAAGCGAATTTTCAAGGTAACCGTGTGATTTATGTCCGACAAAACCCCCTTTCTATAATCGGGGCTGTAAGATTGTGACTGTATCATAAGGCTGCGTTTATGAAGCTCTGTCAAATACTGAAAACATCGGGTGTCAGAGACAATGACATTTGTGGCAGGTAACTGATTTAGCGGGGTCACATCCGATGTCTGTTTAGGTCGGGCACAACAGACAGTCCATAACCGGACGCAGCTGCGGAGACGCGGATTTTAGAATATGTCACCCTCCATCTTTCTGTTTCGTCTTTATTCCTAAATGAGGTGTATGAAATGAGCCACGTGGTCGGTTGATTCGTTCATCTCGACGTTTTATTCGAGCATCCGGGTATTAACCACGATTTTGACTTTCCAGAGTCATCGTGATTAATGTGCGACGTTATATATGTTCTTGTTCCCAGAAGCCTGACACATCCGACGCAGTATTCTCCACCGACTGCCTCGCAATACGTAAATCTAGTTACGGCAAACTTAACATGAATAATAACATGTCACCGAGGGAACGCATTACAAATATCTCAATTCGGATTTATCATGACCATTTCTACAGAGGCACCTCGCTAATCCGGTACCTCCGCAATCAGGACGACTACTGACTCGATTTTCTGGCCATTTACAAGGCACTACTCGCCAGGTGCACGGTGGCTTAAGTTGTAGATATGTATAGTAAATATGATAGATGTATTCAAAGTAAAACATAATAAACCTATTAATGGTAAATATGGATATTATAAACAGCTCAGACAGTAGATGTAGAAAAAGGTTGAGAGTAAAAGAATGTTTTGATAGTTAGAAAGTAACATATTAATGGTGAAATAGTACAACGATTAATATAAGACAAAAACATTATTAATGGTATATGTTCTAGATGTACAAAGAGTAAAGACAGTAGGTGTAACAATGGAAGAGAGTAGAAGGATGTATTAATAATAATATTAGAATATGCATCGATGACAAGTAGATACAGGAATGGCAGATGTGTTAATAAGAAAGATAGGCGAACGGTTTCCGTAAGATCAGTAGTGATTGAGTGAGTGAGTGTGGTTTTAGCAATATTCCAGCAATATCACGGCGGAGGACGCCAGAAATGGGCTTCACACATTGTACCCATGTGGGGAATCGAACCTGGGTCTTCAGCGTGACGAGCGGACGCTTTAACCACTAGGCTACCCCACCGTCCCCCTAAGGACTACATAGGCGTATTGATGTACGATACATGTAATATTCGTATTCACCGTAGATGTACATATGTATGCATGGTAAATGTGCTTTAATGGCCTTGTTTCGTGTTCTAGCCACGACATTTTAGGGTAAACGTCACTACACTACACGTGGGGGTGCGAGTGCAAGCCATACTTTGTCAAATAAAGCAGATGTAGCTGGTGGATGTGTTAACATTAAAGATAGAATCTGTATTGACAGTACGGTAGACTTTACAATAGTTAAGATGGTAGATGCGTTGATAGTGGCTGTTTTTATCTTTATATTGCTATATGGAAATTAAATAGACAATAACAAATAGATATTGACTGGATCTAATAGGGTTCAATATCTGGCGCGTGTCCTTGACATTGTCAAGTCGTACTGAAAGTGATGATATCCGTACAGGCATGAATTAAAACGAATGTCAGGTGTTCTCGAGCCCAACGTGGTGTCATAATGTTCCGTGATTGATTGTATGTCCGGGTACTGTGACATTCACCTTCTACATAGGATAAACTGCGTCCTGTGTTATATATACTCATGCCAATATTGGTTGTCACCCCTTCAAAAAATTTTATTGGAGAGATTGGGAACAACCATTATTGGCATGAGTATATGTTGTATGCACATGCACATGGGCTTGTGTTGAGGGGCTATATATGTTGTAGCACATGTTGTGTTGAGGGGGTATATATGTTGTAGCACATGTTGTGTTGAGGGGGTACATTATGTCTTGTTACACGTTGTGTTGAGGGGGTATATCTGTTGTAGCACATGTTGTGTTGAGGGGGTATATATGTTGTAGCACATGTTGTGTTGAGGGGGTACATTATGTCTTGTTACACGTTGTGTTGAGGGAGTATATTGTGCTTTATTACAAGTTGTATCTTACACAATCTAATATCTTACACCCAAACTTTGCTCAGTTAACAAACACTGAATAAGCTACATTTCTCTTACAAACAGAAAATATTGTTAATCCACTGTAGTTAGCTGCATGTATCGGCGTAAGCTATCATCACAATAACTTTTTTTCCCCCAAGTTCTTTCACATGTGTGATACTCATCTATGTTTTAATCTTATATTTTATACATTTTATGCACATATTGTCTAGTGTGTCTCATTGGCCATCCGGCTTGGTGTTTGTATTGTTCTATGTTCTTTTACAATTGCCATTTTTGACATGACCTTTGTACATTCACGTGACACATATATAAACTATTTTGTCTGTCTGTCTGTCTGTCTCGATCAGCTATAATGTGTTTTGTTACCACAAAAATTACAACAATCTTCACACATGGGACCTTCAACCCAATCATATTTCATAAATTAATTATTCCATACTACAGTGGAAACCTGATACGTAAAATTTCAAGGGACTCGCCAAAATTGTTTACTAATCAGGTATTTTACTTATCCCAACTTATCAAAACCTGGAAATGACAACCATATGCAGGTACATGTATACAGCAGAATAACAGACAACATTTGTAAGTAATTTGACATGTTCTATTCGATAAAATTTCACTGAGTTAAGTAATACATTTATAATACATTTATAATACAAAGTAATACAAATCAAACACTAATGAAACAAAATCAAACAAAATCAAACAAAATATTTCAGTCACAGACTAGCTTACAACTCCACAAAAGCTGTCATGAGGGATTGTCTCTTGGCAAAACATATTTTCATCTTCTTCTCTGCAACATAGTTGGCCATCATGTTGCAGCCTGACATGACAGTATCTCCATCGTCTTGTGAAATAACGTACCGCCTGACGATTTCTAGGACTGCTGTTGTGGTATTTCATTCCCCACGTGAGTCAGTGAGTGAGTGAGTTACGTTTTACGCCGCACTCAGCAATATTCCAACTATATGGCAGGGGTCTGTAAATAATTGAGTCTTGACCAGACAATCCAGTGATCAACAGCATGAGTCAATCTGTGCAACTGGGAAACGATGACATGTGTCAACCAAGTCAGCGAGCCTGACAACCCGATCCCGTTAGTCGCCTCTTACGACAAGCATGGGTTACTGAAGATGTACAGGTAATGTACAGGTAATGTCCAGGTAATGTGCAGGTAATGTACAGGTAATGTCCAGGTAATGTACAGGTAATGTACAGGTAATCCAATGTTCTATTTGTGGTACAACTACTGGTATAGTTTACAATGGAATCATGGTGTGTAAATAAATCAATGATATTAATGACCACAATAGCCATCAGCAGAACTTTTTGGGTGTGACCTAGAATTTCAGATAAATAGGAATTCATGAACATGTCGCACGGGTCCACGTCCGCCTTGACACGTGCAGCCATGAAGGCCCGGATGTTGTCTCCGTACACACGGCGAATGTGGGGTATGATTCCTGGAATATTGTCGTAACGCTTGGGCCAGTGGGGGCGGATATCCTCCTTCTCGAACGCTGCCATGAACTGAGGGGAGAGAAAGGAGGATTAGCGGGAAGTGTGAGGGGGATTGTGTACGAGGTGAGTCAGTGTGAAGTCAGCGGTCGTGTTTGTAGAGGCGGCTACGCGCCGTGTCAATACAACCTGACGGCGGCCTACCTGGGTTGCATGTGAAACGTATTGGTGAGTGAGTGAGTTAAAATTTTACGTCACATCAGCAATGAAACGTATGGTATGGATATATGTGAGACGTATGATATTCATATACGTTATTCAACATGTCAGGCGTACGATATTGATATATGTGAGACGTGTGGTATTCAAATATGGTATTCCTATATACGAGACTTGTGATATTCATATGTGTCAAACATGGTATTTCTATATGCGAGACTTGTGGTATTCCTATATGTCAAACATGGTATTCCTATATACGAGACTTGTGATATTCATATGTGTCAAAACATGGTATTTCTATATGCGAGACTTGTGGTATTCCTATATGTCAAACATGGTATTCCTATAGGCGAGACTTGTGATATTCATATGTGTCAAACATGGTATTCCTATATGCGAGACTTGTGGTATTCCTATATGTCAAACATGGTATTCCTATAGGCGAGACTTGTGATATTCATATGTGTAAAACATGGTATTCCTATATGCGAGACTTGTGATATTTCTATATGTCAAACATGGTATTCCTATAGGCGAGACTTGTGATATTCATATGTGTCAAACATGGTATTCCTATATGCGAGACTTGTGGTATTCCTATATGTCAAACATGGTATTCCTATATACGAGACTTGTGATATTCATATGTGTCAAAACATGGTATTTCTATATGCGAGACTTGTGGTATTCCTATATGTCAAACATGGTATTCCTATAGGCGAGACTTGTGATATTCATATGTGTAAAACATGGTATTCCTATAGGCGAAACTTGTGGTATTCCTATATGTCAAACATGGTATTCCTATATGCGAGACTTGTGATATTCATATGTGTCAAAACATGGTATTTCTATATGCGAGACTTGTGGTATTCCTATATGTCAAACATGGTATTCCTATATGCGAGACTTGTGATATTCATATGTGTCAAACATGGTATTCCTATATGCGAGACTTGTGGTATTCCTATATGTCAAACATGGTATTCCTATAGGCGAAACTTGTGGTATTCCTATATGTCAAACATGGTATTCCTATATGCGAGACTTGTGATATTCATATGTGTCAAAACATGGTATTTCTATATGCGAGACTTGTGGTATTCCTATATGTCAAACATGGTATTCCTATATGCGAGACTTGTGATATTCATATGTGTAAAACATGGTATTCCTATAGGCAAAACTTGTGATATTTCTATATGTCAAACATGGTATTCCTATAGGCGAGACTTGTGGTATTCCTATATGTCAAACATGGTATTCCTATAGGCGAAACTTGTGATATTCCTATATGTCAAACATGGTATTCCTATAGGCGAAACTTGTGATATTCCAATATGTCAAACATGGTATTCCTATGGGTGAGACTTGTGATATTCCTATATTTCAAACATGGTATTCCTATATGCGAGACTTGTGGTATTCATATGTGTCAAACATGGTAATTATGTTAATTCCTGACATCAAATTTGTAATAAATGTCAATATATTCTTCAGGTCGGAAGCTTAAAGTTCGAGTTTTTCAATATCTTAACAATGTGTTATATTCAAAAATGTTGACTGTAAATTATGTCTAAATCTTCAAAGACAATACAATGTTTTAATCATGAAAGAATAATTATCTGGTTATCCGCCCCAGCCCTAATACGTACGATAGGAAGTGTGAGGTAGTCATATGTATTATATTAATGAGTGTGACATATGTAGTTATACGAAATGCATATATAGTATCCTTTTCAAGCAAAACACATATTTCGCCGTCATTAATATGAAAATCAGTATTTTCACCATCGAAAACCGGTATTTTTATGGTGACGGAACTAGTTTCGTCCGGAGAGTTGTCTCCCTTGGTTCGTCTGCTGCCAACCTGTCCCGTGCTCCACCATGCGAGCAGGTCGAGAAGAGATGTCAAAGGTCGGGTAGCTAGGTACTCATGTAGCACGTATGTCATCGATAAATAGCGGCGTGGGGCGCTTTCTTTCATTTTTATGCAGACATTATGCTGTCTGTTCTTGTTTGATTTTCGTTCAATAAACATCCCAGGAAGCGGACTATTGATCTTTGCTGTGATTGATGCCGTGTTGTCTACATCGGTTAATGCGCCTTTCAACAAATGCGCGTAATACAAAACAGCCTTAAATACTTCGGATTTCTTTATCTTTCCTAAGCGGTATATCAATGATAGATATTTGAAATTTTGAACCACAATTCTGAGTGTTATATGTGTAATTTTTGTTAACTATTAACGAGGAACTATTTTTTGCACACGCTGTTGATAACGGTAGTAACTGGGGATACGACTTGGACAGCTGGTGAGGACTAGTTGAAAAGGGAGGCATTGTGGCATCACAAATTTATGTAATAAATAGAACACTTAATTGTTTTTATCAAATACGACGTATATTTTATGTCGTGAATGCAGAAAACAATATTTTACTCGTTTTGTCGCAACTCGTGAAAACATGGCTGTCAGACGTTACGACATGAGACAAACATCGTAATTGACGCAAAGCATGAACTACAAAAAGTCAGTCGTAGGACAATGTTATGTGTGGGACGTATATTAAACATGAAAGATAAACGTAAAGTATTGATATATGTGAGACTAGCCTTGCTCCAAGGCTGTACGGAATGCTAAACCCATGGATGTGAAGTAATTCCATCCTTTTAAAGAGACATGTCCAGATAAGCGGTCAGCCAGTGTCTTTTTTTTTTTAATATATTGATTTATTATATTTGAAAATATATCATTTGAACTATTAACCATTGCCCTAGAGACTTGTGCCATCTAATGCGTGACGTATGGTGTTCGTTATATCCAAAGTCAACTGCCCTGACCAGTGTTGACCTCGCCGAACCGTTCGTATCGTGTTAGGTCAGTTTGTGCCGCTACAACTGGTCACCGGAGATTGGCCCAGTGGTGGAAGGTTCGTTCACTTAACAAACCCTGGTTTGACTCCCCCAGTAAGCTAGATGCTAGATGCATGGTGTATACCGTTTCGTGACGACTTAAAACAACGCCATGGCCCTATAGGTTCAACTAACATGCATTGTGTTTGTACAGTGAAACTGCCCATAGCACGGAACCCAGTAGTCCGGAACCCCTGCATACCGACCTATCACGGGTCAGATACCGATATCCCTGTATGCGATCGGCACAGTGGACGAAATGTACTGCAGGCGGATGGAGATGGAACCACTAGGCTTTGCCTTGATATTGTAAACAAAATCCTATATGGTATATGTCTGGATGAATTGTGTTATATGTCTGGATGAATTGTGTTATATGTCTGGATGGATTGTGTTATATGTCTGGATGAATTGTGTTATATGTCTGGATGAATTGTGTTATATGTCTGGATGAATTGTGTTATATGTCTGGATGAATTGTGTTATATGTCTGGATGAATTGTGTTATATGTCTGGATGAATTGTGTTATATGTCTGGATGAATTGTGTTATATGTCTGGATGGATTGTGTTATATGTCTGGATGGATTGTGTTATATGTCTGGATGGATTGTGTTATATGTCTGGATGGATTGTGTTATATGTCTGGATGGATTGTGTTATATGTCTGGATGGATTGTGTTATATGTCTGGATGAATTGATGATTGTATATGTCTGGATGGATTGTGTTATATGTCTGGATGAATTGTGTTATATGTCTGGATGGATTGTGTTATTTGTCTGGATGGATTGTGTTATTTGTCTGGATGGATTGTGTTATTTGTCTGGATGGATTGTGTTATATGTCTGGATGGATTGTGTTATGGATGGATTGTGTTATATGTCTGGATGGGATGTCTTGGATTGTGTTATTTGTCTGGATGGATTGTGTTATATATCTCCTTGATTGTGTTATATGTCTGGATGGATTGTGTTATATGTCTGGATGGATTGTGTTATTTGTCTGGATGGATTGTGTTATATGTCTGCATGGATTGTGTTATATGTCTGGATGGATTGTGTTATATGTCTGGATGGATTGTGTTATATGTCTGGATGGATTTGTGTTATATATGTCTGGATGGATGTGTTATATGTGGATATATGTCTGGATGGATTGTGTTATTTGTCTGGATGGATTGTGTTATATGTCTGGATGGATTGTGTTATATGTCTGGATGGATTGTGTTATATGGATTGTGTTATATGTCTGGATGGATTGTGTTATATGTCTGGATGGATTGTGTTTGGATGGATTGTGTTATTTGTCTGGATGGATTGTGTTATATGTCTGGATGGATTGTGTATATATGGATTGTGTTATATGGATGGATTGTGTTATATGTCTGGATGTTGTGATGGATTTGTTATATGTCTGGATGGATTGTGTTATATGTCTGGATGGATTGTGTTATTTGTCTGGATGGATTGTGTTATTTGTCTGGATGGATTTGTCTGGATGGATTGTGTTATATGTCTGGATGGATTGTGTTATATGTCTGGATGGATTGTGTTATATGGATTGTGTTATATGTCTGGATGGATTGTGTTATATGTCTGGATGGATTGTGTTATATGTCTGGATGGATTGTGTTATATGTCTGGATGGATTGTGTTATATATTGTGTTATATGTCTGGATGGATTGTGTTATATGTCTGGATGGATTGTGTTATATGTCTGGATGGATTGTGTTATATGGATTGTGTTATATGTCTGGATGGATTGTGTTATTTGTCTGGATGGATTGTGTTATATGTCTGGATGGATTGTGTTATATGTCTGGATGGTTTGTGTTATATGTCTGGATGGTTTGTGTTATATGTCTGGATGGATTGTGTTATATGTCTGGATGGATTGTGTTATATGTCTGGATGGATTGTGTTATATGGATTGTGTTATATGTCTGGATGGATTGTGTTTTATGGATTGTGTTATATGTCTGGATGGATTGTGTTATATGTCTGGATGGATTGTGTTATATGTCTGGATGGTTTGTGTTATTTGTCTGGATGGATTGTGTTATATGTCTGGATGAATTGTGTTATATGTCAGGATGGATTGTGTTATTTGTCTGGATGGATTGTGTTATATGTCTGGATGGATTGTGTTATTTGTCCTGATGGATTGTGTTATATGTCTGGATGGATTGTGTTATATGTCTGGATGGATTGTGTTATATGTCTGGATGGATTGTGTTATATGTTTGGATGGATTGTGTTATATGTCTGGATGGATTGTGTTATTTGTCTGGATGGATTGTGTTATATGTCTGGATGGATTGTGTTATATGTTTGGATGGATTGTGTTATATGTCTGGATGGATTGTGTTATTTGTCTGGATGGATTGTGTTATTTGTCTGGATGAATTGTGTTATTTGTCAGTATCAGAAGTGAGCCTACTTCGTACCAATGCTTTGTTAATCCGGACTTTTGTTAATCCAAATACAATACAGTCCGGATTAGCAGGGTTTTATTGTAATCTGAAGATAAGACAATTGTATAGGTAGCAACGTTCGTATTGCTTGTAACGAAGTTACCGGAAATGTCGTTGCGAACAATGAGAAAGTCGATATCCACAAACATGTCATGACGTGATCAGTTCTACCAACACAGGGGCGGTGGGGTAGCTGAGTGGTTAAAGCGTCCGCTCGTCACGTCAAAGACCCGGGTTCGATTCCCCACATGGGTACAATGTGTGAAGTCCCACAGGGGACACAGCGGTTTTACAGAACATTATTGTCAGAAGTTACCACAAACAAATGACATTGCCAAAAATGGTAGCAAATTATTGTAAACAACGAAGCCTTATCTGACCACTGGAGAAATTATAACAACATGCCATTTAGATGCACAAGTGACAGTTAACTACAATGGTTCCAATATAGAATATTACATCACATCTTACCGACAAATATAAAGCTATTTAAGTTAAATAATAATAATATATAAATAATTCAAAATGCAGGTTCTGCCAAGACGAAATTGAGACACTTGATCACATTATCTGGTCTTTCAGTAAAGTTAACCATATCTGGCTAAATCGTAAAGCTCTTATCAATATCAAGTATTGCTTGGTTTCCCAGACAAAAACAATAACCTTCTCAATCTAATCATTATTATCTTTACAAACCTAATTTTTGATAGCAGATTAAAAAACAGTGTGCCACCTTTTGATGTTTTCCAGTATGAAATTAGACATTATTATATGATAACAAAGTGCTCTTCTTTAATGGAGTGTAATATCAGCGCCTTATATAAGTTTTGGGCTTCATATCATGAACTCTTCACATAATTTGTAAATCATATGCTTGTTGGATTGTAACCTGAATGTCCTTTGTTGAGTTTTCTGAATATTTTGTAAAATATATTTAAAAACAATAAAATTATTTTAAAAAAACAAACAAACAATGTGTGAAGCCCATTTCTTGAATATTGCTAAAAGCGGCGTAAAACTTAACCCACTCACTCACTCACTCACTCTTCCACCTTATGAATGCTTATTACTCTGTTGTTATTTCAGCATTACCTTAATGGTGATGTCGTAGAAGCCGGGTTGCCATGGAGGCGCTAGGAAGTCGATTACGAAGGACCTGCCGGTGTCTCCGGCGACGTTGAAGGCGGTGTTTGCGGGGCAGAGGAGACAGTCGGCGTTGAGGACGAATCGGGGAAGGAGGGCGTTGACAGGGGTGGTGCCGTTGAGCCGAATCTGCCGTTCTGACTCCTCAATGATGAACTTGTAACAGAGAAAGTGACAAATGTATATATATTTGATAAATTGTTCCTTATTTCACTTGGCTGGCTGTTTGTCTTCATATCTGACGAGGTGGATTGTTGCTTATGACATTGACCACTGGTTTAAAGTAGATTATTTACAGTGGGACATTAAACAATTTTTTTGTGTGTGTACAATCTGGTCTCTTGCTATCCGACTATACCTATTGTTGGTCGACCAAGTAATACGAGACTCAGTATATTGGTTTGACAAATAATCTCCGGATAAGCGAGGTTACTCTTTGCCACATGTTAACACTATAAACAAGGGCAAAAGTAAATACCTTGCCGTCCGGATAAACGGGGTTAGAGTTCGTTTCCTCTAGACCCAGTACATGGTAAACTAGTGTTACCATTATACATTGCCGTCCTGATAAAAAGGGTTACTCTTTATTTAATCTCTACGATGTATGGTAAAGTGGGGTGACCATTTATACAATACTGTCCTGATAAAAAGGGTTACACTTTATTTATTCTCTACGATGTATGGTAAAGTGGGGTGACCATTTATACAATACTGTCCTGATAAAAAGGGTTACCCTTTATTTAATCTCTACGATGCATGGTAAAATGGGGTGACCATTTATACAATACTGTCCTGATAAAAAGGGTTACACTTTATTTAATCTCTACGATGCATGGTAAAATGGGGTGACCATTTATACAATACTGTCCTGATAAAAAGGGTTACACTTTATTTAATCTCTACGATGCATGGTAAAGTGGGGTGACCATTTATACAATACTGTCCTGATAAAAAGGGTTACACTTTATTCATTCTCTACGACGCATGGAAAAGTGGGGTGACCATTTATACAATACTGTCCTGATAAAAAGGGTTACACTTTATTTAATCTCTACGATGTATGGTAAGGTAGGGTGACCATTCATACAATACTGTCCTGATAAAAAGGGTTACACTTTATTTAATCTCTACGACGAATGGAAAAGTGGGGTGACCATTTATACAATACTGTCCTGATAAAAAGGGTTACACTTTATTTATTCTCTACGACGCATGGAAAAGTGGGTTGACCATTTATACAATACTGTCCTGATAAAAAGGGTTACACTTTATTTAATCTCTACGATGTATGGTAAAGTGTGGCGACCATTTATACAATACTGTCCAGATAAGAAGGGTTACTCTTTATTTAATCTGTACGATGTATGGTAAAGTGGGGTGACCATTTATACAATACTGTCCTGATAAAAAGGGTTACACTTTATTGATTCTCTACGATGTATGGTTAAGTGGGGTGACCATTTATACAATACTGTCCTGATAAAAAGGGTTACACTTTATTGATTCTCTACGATGCATGGTTAAGTGGGGTGACCATTTATACAATACTGTCCTGATAAAAAGGGTTACACTTTATTTAATCTCGACGATGCATGGTAAAGTGGGGTGACCATTTATACAATACTGTCCTGATAAAAAGGGTTACACTTTATTTAATCTCTACAATGTATGGTTCAGTGGGGTGACCATTTAAACAATACTGTCCTGATAAAAAGGGTTACACTTTATTTAATCTCTACGATGCATGGTAAAGTGGGGTGACCATTTATACAATACTGTCCTGATTAAAAGGGTTACAGTTTATTTAATCTCTGCGATGTATGGTAAGGTGGGGTTGACACGAGTACAGTAATCTGTTTCTTACACACCATAAATCGTATCATTTTATGGTCGAACAGATTCAAATTTCATGTTTTCTAATCGTAGGTGCGCAATAATACACACCACAACGTTTATGAATGAGTGACGTCACTTGGCTTCCTAATCACTACTCATCCCCATGGTGACCCTCCACAAAAAGGTTTCTGCCACCTCTTCGCATCATCAAGGCAATGGTGATAATGATCACTGGATAAGATCACTGAAAATTAATTAAACCCTCTAAAACGATGATGTTACCATGCAAATGTGGATGATTTTAATTCTTGCAAGCGTAAAATATTTGAGCGTGTGACGTCATCGTTATCGCTTGGTGGTTGTCGTCATCATCGGAAGATTGTTTTGGATATCTCTGCACATTGGGGATCTGTACTTGTGTACCAGTTTACGCTCAATGTTCTACCATCGACCGGAGCCAAAGGTTTTGAGTGTGTGTAATTAGGTGCACCTAGTGTGCTTGAATGTGACATTGCTGAGGTTACGTTCACTGTTCACTACTCTTCTTCGCCACATCCTTCTCGTTTTCCCGAGCCAGAAACTGCCACTTGGAATGTGATGGAGTTTACGGAGTTTTCAGTATGAAATGTGAGTTGATTACATCCTGTAAGTTATCAAGACATAAACTTTTCATTATCATGCGTCAGAGGAATATCTTAAGCAATGACTTATGTGTAGATCAACCGTTCCTGTACATGTTCGATTGAACAGAAAGGACTTGTGCCGGCATTTGCACTCATGAAGCCTTGCAAAACGTTCCATGTTGTACATTGTTTCAACGAGTGTGTTTTGGTTCAGATTGTCATGAGTGAATTTGATAACATTAGAATCACATAGTATCTCGGAGATGGTAGTGGGTCTCCATCATGTGTATCAGTGAAAAATGTCATCTTCATCAATGCATCAAAGAAACAACAAGGCAAATTGATCTCTCGACAGGCACTGACGTTATCGTGTCAGGTATTTTTGCAAGACGACACATGACACTTGTCGCATCTCTCCTGTAAAAGTACCAGTGTTGTACATTTTGAATATTCGAAGGGAATCAAGGGCTTTATGTCTAACGGTGATTTTCACATAATTGTTTACACAGGTATCACAGATTGTTGGAGCCATTTTGAATTCATGACTAGAAATCAGAGTTTTAATAAAAGGAATTAGAAAAAAAATAGATTTGTGTTATATTTATTCTACTTGTGACTCATTGTATAAATACCTGTTTATGTTGCAATCGCAAAAATAACAGGTAGGTGTAAAGGGGTATTTTTTGCACGAGTAACAGGTTTCTGTTCGATTGAAGCACGAGTAACTTATCAATGAATTTGAATCAGAAATAGTCCGTCATACCCTGACACTAGGTCATCACCATGGAGTAGCCAATCACGGGATTAGAAATCGATCTCACACATATGTGTGATACCAGTTTTCTCACATGGGTTTCTCACCCACGGGTGTGTAAGAAACTTCATTACGTCATGATTGACAACTTTTTTATCTCACTCGAATCAAGAGGTTCCACTTTGCAGCATACTTGGAAGTTAAACGAGCTTCTCCATTTCACCCGGCAGTCCGGAATGATAAAGGTCTAGATCATACAGCATATACTTAATAGATAAAAAGAGATGATTACACACGCGGGTGTACAGGCAGATTTTACGAAATTCTTTAATTTACCCCAGCAAGAACGAGGCTAGTACGAGAATTCTAACGCGCAAGCGCTTCGTAAATCAGTAGGACACACATGCGAGTGTAATCATATATACTCCAATATTGAAGGCTATGGAGGGACGCTAAAAGCTATGAAATCTATTTTATGTTAATGTGTGTAGGTTTTTGTTTTATTTCTGTATTAGTTATTTCTATCGTTCCGTTCTTCCGTGATCTGAATTTATTCTGCTATATACCCAAGTTTCTTCCGTATATTTTATCACCATATGAACTTAACCGGATTTGATATATCCAGCTTGATGCGGATGATGGACCACTCAAGAAACATTTAGTTAAACGGTTTCAGGTTCACCTGAATATTTAGATCTAAAAGTGATCGTTTTAAAATGACCCCATAAAGCTGGATATACGCCCCCTGTGCCATGTGTCCACTCAGACGCCATGTTGCTATTTGTATGGGTAGAGCTCTACCAACATTTAACTCATGTCCAAATAGTTCTCTCGATGACGAAAATTTATACCTTTATTTCATCAGTATCACTTTATTAACTGTGAATCGTTTTATTTGCGTTTTGTGGGTGGTATGTTGTGTACCTGAAATAGCACCAAAATATCACTGGGCCTGCTAACCGCGTTATGATATAGGTGAACAGAAACACGCTTTCGCCGAGGATGAATTTCGTCACGGTGGCCGTGGCTAAAGAACTGTTGTTTATTCTAATTGTGTCTGTTTAGAAGCCACTCATTCTTGGAACAGAGTGTGTGTGTGTGTGTGTGTGTGTGTGTGTGGGAAAATTTTGTATAAAGATCTATCGTTTCAATGTAAGCCACCACAACGTTCCTACTATATATATTTTATTGTACATTTGTGTCGAATCCCTACAGGTGTCGTATATAATAGCCCGGAACCAGGCTTCCCTTTAACACCGCACCACGTGCCATAATATTGTATAGCCTCGTGTGCAAACATACGGGTTGTCTGAACACGGAAGTCTATAGATACCAATACAATGAGGACTGACAGGAGAGCGCTAAGAAAAATTTGATCAATAGGGTCTAGTTTTTGCGTCAACAGTTCAACGAAAAGCGCATTCAGGTTTCTTATTCGATCTCAGTCCTTCCAAGTAAATGAACGTATATGAACCGGAGGATTAATCGGTCATGCAGTGCGACTCTTGTAGAAGACTCAGAACGAGGCCATGTGTAACCCGGAAGCAGGATGTCGTGAGAAAAAGCGCTTTCAAATGTTCCATATTGCCTATAGATCTACAACATGACATCTGAGACGGATGGTGGAACTAAGGCATGATGACATTAACACTTTGAATCAACTCTGGTTGGACTGTCAATTGAACAGTGACTAACATCTCTATAGGTTACACACAACCAAATGTTTTCCCACAGACTTCCATAGCACCGTTTTATTGTCTAAAATAACCAGGGTGCCGTTCCACTAACCGATCTTAGCCCAATGCCAATAATAAACCCCTAAAATCCCAATCTTAGCGTGACGTTACAATCGGCATACCGTTCCACTAACCAATCTTACCCTAGTCAATCGTAAAGTTAAGATTCAAAGTCTAAGTTGCTCATGACCAACTTAGGATAGCTAAAATCAATCGTAGAGAAACCAAAATGGTGGCTTTCCTATTCTATGTGAAAAATAAGAGCGAGCATTTCACCGTGAGCGTCCCCTAAAATCCCCCCATGAAATGAATTTGTATATTTCTGTGATGTAAACAAACACTGCACTGAAGCCCTACAAATGTCAGACCAGTCTGACCACTGTCGTCATGGGAACACAACCGAGCGAGTCGGTGTGACACATTTGTACAACAATATTGCAACGTCATGGTTAAGAATAGGGACGGGTCATGAAGTGAACAATGTTCTGAAAAAAAAGAAGATACAAATATGTTTGATTTCACGTGCGCTTATTTGGTGGGGGGATTCTAAAGGCAGGCCACGTGTTACTCAAAACCACTGACAGATTCTACATACGTTATAGAGGATGCCTCGTCACGCCTTGTTTATTCTGATTGACAAGGTTCAGGCACATATTAAAAGCTCTGACACAATTGACATTTTTAAAGTCCTGACTTAAAACCTGTTCTCAGTATATTACTTATAATCTCGGCTGTAAATACGTTCATGCATAGCGTTCATGCATCTTAGCTAGATTATTTACAGACCGCCGCGATATAGCTTGACTATTGCTGAGTGCGGCGTAAATCTAAACTCACTCACTCACTCAGTTGGTTTGTAAACTACTTCCATTATTTGCTAGACTATGCAAAGGGAGATAACTCGTGCCACGCATTCCTCTATCTCTCGCACGAAAGAGTCTCGATCGGATCGTAAGATCGGGACCGGCTACGATCGGCCTAAGATCGGGTAGTGGAACGGGTGTAACTTTTAGCTAAGACGATTGTAAAATTGGCGTAACTTGCTAAGATTGATCTTAAATAAGATCAGTTAGTGGAACGGCACCCAGGGTGCCGTTCCACTAACCGATCTTAGCCCTATGCCGCAGATCGATGCTCATGCTGTTGATCACTGGATTGTCTGGTCCAGACTCGATTATTTATAGCTAAGACACATAGCTTTCATGCATCTTAGCTAGATTATTTACAGACCGCCGCGATATAGCTTGACTATTGCTGAGTGCGGCGTAAATCTAAACTCACTCACTCACTCAGTTGGTTCGTAAACTACTTCCATCATTTGCTAGACTGTGCAAAGGGAGATAACTCGTGCCTCGCATTACTCTATCTCTCTAACGAAAGAGTCTCCGTCTAAGCTTGAATCGGATCGTAAGATCGGGACCGGCTTCGATGGGTCTAAGATCGGGTAGTGGAACGGGTGTAACTTTTAGCTAAGACGATTGTAAAATTGGCGTAACTTGCTAAGATTGATCTTAGTTAAGATCGGTTAGTGGAACGGCACCCAGGACGTTAACGTTGAACACACCAACCGCAGTTCCGCATCAAATGTCACCTACTTGAAAACATATCTGCACACATTCAGCATAAGCCATTGTGTTGAAAAAGACAGCACTAAACGTCGAAAAATATTGTCAGTTTTAATTACTGGATCGATGTATATTTAAAAAACACAAAACTCTTACACAAAATCATCCAATCACAGCTGTCAGATAATTCGGCCTGCACTACGAAAAGTTATATCTAAGGAACATGATTTGGTGTAGTATAACCTAACCACCACACTTACCTGCACAGCCCTGGTCGGCCTGTCGAAGTCCTTGTCTATATTCATCATGAAGGCCGCACTCGTCTCCCGGCCGTGTTTGGGGGGCAGGATGGTGGCGAAGGCGTCGATGAGGTAGTGGTAACTGACCCGTGGCAGAGAACGTGGGATAGCCACTCCTGCCTGCAATACATAGAGGATATTATATGAGTGCCCATGTCAGACTATGTTTACGACACGAGTGCCTAAATGTTGGTATTTCCCGAGCGAGAGCGAGGGATATACCGATAATTAGGCCCGAGTGTCGTAAACATAGTATGATGTGGGCACGAGTATAATATTCTGTTTATTACCGAAGTCGTCAAATTGAGAAACATACACCCAAAACTACTTTCAAACATAGGCTAGCTACCTGCCGTCGCCTATGTAGCACGCAACGTCATAGAAGAAACGTGACGTCATAGCATTGTTCATGACGTCACGTCACCATGACAAAGTGATATTTTGCCCTAGGGCATCGTATGAAAAATATGAACCCCGATATGTTCTCCCTCGTAGGTAATAGAAAGGGGTATGAACTTCAAAACCTAAATGTACGAGGGGTATGTGGACGTTTGGAGCCTTGCATAATTCACATAACTGACATATTGAAAAAAAACAAAAAAACAAACACTTGGCAGTTCAGTACAGTTACTCTTCTCTTCTCCAGTGAATTAGCTCTGAGGTCTCTCTGCCCTCCTCCCCCCTCCTCATGCAGTAGCAAGAAATCTTTGGTCTCCGATAGATCTCTGACCATGCCATGGTTCGAGGCAGGTGGGGGCGGTGGGGTAGCTAGTGGTTAAAGCGTTGGCTCGTCACGCCGAAGACCCGGGTTCGATTCCCCACATGGGCACAATGTGTGAAGCCCATTTCTGGTGTCCCCCGCCGTGATCTTGCTGGAATATTGCTAAAAGCGGCGTAAAACTAAACTCAGTCAGTCAGTCGAGGCAGGTGGCAGCTAGCGTAGAATTCAGATACACGGATAGGGTGGAAGGTCGAATTCGCATCTCCTAGACTAATGATGACACACATATTCTGGGATCCTACCAAGTTCGATTCCAGGTCAGCAAGCTTCGTAATAACGAACTGGGTTTTGTTTTATGGGATTTTTCCGATTTTTTTTGTCCCGGCATTCTGCTGTCCACCCCTTTACAACGGACTACCGTTATAACGAACTAAAACTAATGGTCCCGCTGAGTTCGTTATATACGTACTTTTCTCGTCCATAACGATTATATCAACAGCTGTATTGTTGCTGTTAGATAGTACTCGCCACCTCCAGTTCAGACAACTGACGGACCCACAGTTGTGTCCCTTCACATTAGTGGTTGAGATATGCTATGCCGGCCGGCACCCTCTAGATATTCAGGCTCAGTTCAGGAACTGCGCGAGGCTACAAGCTTGGTGAGGCGCTGTTAAAATTTACTCACTTACACAATTCGACTTGGAGGAACAGTAAAAAAAACCTTATCACCCACTTTGCACAATGAATTACTGCCCAGTTGGTCGAGTTAGTGAGTAAATATCATTTTCCACCCCATTTAACAATATTCGAAAACTATTCCTTCATGGAAATAAAAGAGTAGAAATGAGCTTCACACACAGTACCCATTATCGGCTGAATAACATGGTAACAACGTGGTAACAACATGGTAACAACATCCTACCCTGCCCCGCAGTAGACTGGTGACGTTTCCTCCCGACAACGCCCCCTTGGTAGGCAGGAACACCGGGCCCTGGATGAGGGACGGGTCTACATCCTCCACCAGCTCGATTGTCCTGCAACATCAACCTGCAAAATCAGCTTGATTGTTCTGTAACAAAATTCTGCTATGACTTTTGGGGGATGATGTAATTTGATTGGTCAATTTTATTAAATTTGAAGTGGTTAATGGGCGATAACCAATTCAGATTTTACGGCCGCCTCACATCGCATAGGAATACTTTCACTGGATATGATCACGGCATTACAACACGTCTGCTCTACTGGGAATGTCATTCATCAACCCCGTTATTCCGGATCCGAGCTCTCGAAGCACTGCCATGACTGCGATCGTTGGGAAGGTACTGTACAGTTATGTAGTTAAGGGGGAATAACTCTGTTACCATTTGATAACCCGATATGTGAAACGCACGATTTCACGTTGAACAGTACGTATCACTCGAATTAACGTGGTAATACTGTGTGGTGGTACCGTTGTGGGGATACTTTAGGGATGATATAGTTCCTTGGCGGACTGACCTCAACCACATGACGTCTTTCCTGGCGCTCCAGCTGCTGGGTATAGTTCCGGTCCGAGAGTATTCCTCCGCCTCGCTGTCTGTGATTCCGCTGAATGGATACCAGGCGGGTTCTGTGAGGAACTTGGACGTGACAACGGCTTTTAGTGCCTCCGCGTTATAAAAGAGGTCCTCTATTGTCAGGAACTGATTTTCAACTTTGGCTATTTTCATTGGAAATACCTGTGACGGAATAAAAAACACTTATGGTGTTACATCAGTGATTTACTAGTCTAGTTCAAACATCAGCGGATCATCACACGAGTAAGGGGCGTAACTCTAACCAAAACCTAGTGTCGGAGACAAAAGAAATATTACAGACAAAGACTAAATCATGCAACTTCTTGTACTCATGGATAAAGTACTCCCAGACCTATTGTTGTCGTTTTTAAACAAACATTACAATTACCATGTGTTTGTGTTCATTTTCTAAATTGTTCCAGGAATTGTTTCCTGGTTTATGGTTCTCTTGAAAAGCTTTTAATCGAAACAAAGAATTTAGGCCACGCTATGAAAAGGTGTCGATGCACAATATTTTCTTGGAAATGTTTCTTCAATTACAGAGGTGGTGGTGTAGCTGAGTGGTTTTTAGCGCATTTGCTCATCACGCCGAAGACCCGGGTTCGATTCCCCACACGGATACAATGTGTGAAACCCATTTCTGGTGTCCCCCGATGTGATATTGCTGGAATATTGCTTAAAATTGCGTGTAATTAAACTCACTCACTCATTCATTAAATAAGAAACAAAAGTGACAAACATTGTTAATCTTCATTTCAATGTCTTCAATCTGATGGGGATTACCTTCAGGGTGACGTCATACATGATGCCGAAAACGCCGAGATTACACATGAGCGCCTTCATGACGTCACCATCGTCTTCCATTGTGAACGTCCGGAGCTTGGACCGAGAGTCGATTATTCTCATCTCAATAACGTAGCCGCTCATGGTTGGTCCATCCCAGCTTGAACCCTGGGTCAAAGGTCACAAGTCAGGACACATGCATATATACTCATAGATTAAATTGAAAGGTGTAATGTTGATGCTGAAGAGGGGTTTCCCATTTCGTACACCATGTCAAAGTTGCACGTACATCTTCTTTGATAAATTCAAACTACTTAAGAGCACAAGACGGCTTATTAACAGCTTTAGCCTGATGTCATTATAACATACATGGTGAAGTAGAAAAAATCTAAACACTAGTTTCATAACGTTTCCAAACAATCACCAAAATATTTGTTGTTGTTTTTTTCTATAAAACGTTATCAGTCAGAAAACGACATGTTGAGATTTGCACTCGCGCCTATTTTGAAACCCCATTAAAATCACTCCCACTAGCCATATTATGAACAGTCCCTTGATGTAGGGTGGTGTTGTTGCTTACTGGCAAACAAGGATAAGTTGGACCTGCGCAGAGAACGCGTTTACGAGAAGTAGGCGGTGCACGTCAATGAGCATTCGTGACCAACTCGTGTTATTCCGGGACAAGCCGAATAGCGACTTCTTGGAGTTTACGGAAAGGGGCGAGTGGTGACGAATGGGCAATGAGCAAATCCATTTGGTTTGTGAAAGGTAGAGCAGATGTAGGCTAGTGCACGTGCATTACATGACGATGAAATTGATTCCGCGCGTAGCACCACACTTGATCGCGGACAACCTGGGGCCCCTTCGCTAAAAATGGCAAGCGCCAGTTGGCGGCACTCATAACTGCTAATACGGGTCAGTTGTCAGGTCGGTACTCAACTTATTCTTGTTTGCCAGTAGTGGTTAAATCGTTCGATCGTCCCGGGTTCGACAGTGCGTGAAGCCCATTTCTCATGTCCCCAGCCATGATTTTACTGGAATATTGCTAAAAGCGGCGTAAAACCGTAACACCATGTATGAAAATAGAAAATGAAATCCATTTTCTTGTAGACTGATATGTACAACGACCTGCGATACGACCTGTTCCAAACAATGCAACAATCTGATGTATATCCATCCTTCAATAACTCCTCCTCATTTATAAAATGTACACATCTATTAAACACACCAGATATAGTCCATCTCCTCTGTGATACAGTCACAGACATGTATAAACGTCGTCAGTCATTATCTTAAAGTTTATACACAACTTGTATCTTAAGTTTTAAATGTGTTAATATTTGACCCTTACATTCATTAACACCAGATGAATGCATCACATGGTGTGTGAATGTTATGTATTGTAACAGCTGTACGAGTGTACGTAGCTGTATTGTATTTCATTATAGTGTTTGCTTTGTGTTAAATGGTATTGTGTGCTGGTTACCTGTATCTGTATGTATGTGGGTATACAATGTGTGATTATAATACATTTATATTTTTGTGTGTGTATGTGTGGATGTGTGTGTATGTATGTATGCTTGCATGCATACTTGCATGTGTGTGTATGTGTGAAGGTATATATATGTACGTGGGTTTGTATGTACATATGTATGTGTTTGTACGTATGTGTGTGTATGTGGGTGTGCATGTGTGCGTGTGTTTGTATATACATAGGTACGTGTATGTGCGCGCGTGCAGTATGCGTCTTTGTATGCGTGTGTGTATGTATGCGTGTGTGTCTGTGTTGGTACGCGCATTTGTACGCGTGTTATATGTACGTTTGTATGTAGGTGTGCATATTTTTTTGGGAGTGTATGTATATATGTGTGTGTGTGTACTTGTGTATGTGTATATGTGTGTAGGTAGGTATGCGTGTGCGTGTAATATGTGCGTTTGTATGGCTATTTGTATATGTGTTTGTATGTATGTATGTTTGTTGTATATATGTTATGCATGTATGCATACCTGTACTTGTTAACTTCAAATGTAAACGGTTATATGTGTGTACATACTGTATGTTTACAATGTTTTATTGGTTTTAAATAGTCTCTCATAACTATTTTCTGTACTTTTAAACTCCACCAAAAAGCTTGCATTATATGACAATGTACAGAAAGTGAGATTCAAATAAACATTCTCTCTCTCTCTCTCTCTCTCTCTCTCTCTCTCTCTCTCTCTCTCTCTCTCTCTCTCTCTCTCTCTCTCTCTCTCTCTCTCTCTCTCTCTCTCTCTCTCTCTCTCTCTCTCTCTGTATGCTGGAGTGAGTGTGATTAGGGGCGCGCGTGACCAAAGGGAGACAACTCACGTGTGAGGACGCAGCCACCATGCCTCCGACTGTGCCGTTCACCGTAATGGGCTGAGAGAGGAAGGTAAGCCGGTGTCGCACCAGGAAGGCGTTCAGGTCAGAGGTGACCACGCCGCTCATTGACGTCACGGTGTGGTAGGCGCGCGAGGCAGTCTGTTGAAACAAGTAGCAAATAAATGTTTGTTTTAGAAGGTTTGATTTCTTCACTGATGACGGTGCCTAGGAGTAATCCACTTCACCGGATGTGTAAAGCCGTGTAAAACACGTGTAAAATAATCCGGACATCTCTGAGTCCCGGCAAAACTGGTCTTAATTTATTATTAAAACTTGCTATCTAATCCGGACTCTCTCAATTACGGATTACGGACTAAAATAACAGTCCCGGCAATCAACTTGCTATGAGAACGATGCTTTGTACCCCGGAAGTAGCTGGCTGTATTTTGGAGACGAGAACAAAGATGTCTTCACGAAATTCAATCATAAACATCAATAAATATCTGTAGAATAAGAAAGAAATCTGTGTCATATATTCAACCTGAGACGCCTACTGTATTAGCAACCAATCAGAAAGTATCACCAGGAACGATTGTTTTTATGGATACACAACTTCTTTTTTGCAATGGCTGCGACGTTAACCGAAACACCGCATCCATTGTAATACAGGAGTTTTTGAGTAGCATTTTATTGGGACGTACTATACTGGACAAACTTTATAGACAAGTCTCTGTAGCGAAACGTCGCACTCACGAAATAAAAGAAGTTCTTATCCATAACGTTTGTTCAATATTATGATAAAGAAGTCGTCTATCCATGACGTTTGTTCAATATTATGATAAAGAAGTCGTCTATCCATAACGTTTGTTCAATATTATGATAAAGAAGTCGTCTATCCATAACGTTTGTTCAATATTATGATAAAGAAGTTGTTATCCATAACGTTTGTTCAATGTTATGATAAAGAAGTTGTTACCCAAAGAAGTTGTTATTCATAACGTTTGTTCAATGTTATGATAAAGAAGTTGTTATCCATAACGTTTGTTCAATATTATGATAAAGAAGTTGTTATCCATAACGTTTGTTCAATATTATGATAAAGAAGTTGTTATCCATAACGTTTGTTCAATATTATGATAAAGAAGTTGTTAACCAAAGAAGTTGTTATCCATAACGTTTGTTCAATGTTATGATAAAGAAGTTGTTATCCATAACGTTTGTTCAATGTTATGATAAAGAAGTTGTTATCCATAACGTTTGTTCAATATTATGATAAAGAAGTCGTCTATCCATAACGTTTGTTCGATATTATGATAAAGAAGTTGTTATCCATAACGTTTGTTCAATGTTATGATAAAGAAGTTGTCTATCCATAACGTTTGTTCAATATTATGATAAAGAAGTTGTTATCCATAACGTTTGTTCAATATTATGATAAAGAAGTTGTTATCCATAACGTTTGTTCAATATTATGATAAAGAAGTTGTTATCCATAACGTTTGTTCAATATTATGATAAAGAAGTTGTTATCCATAACGTTTGTTCAATGTTATGATAAAGAAGTTGTTACCCAAAGAAGTTGTTATCCATAACGTTTGTTCAATATTATGATAAAGAAGTTGTTATCCATAACGTTTGTTCAATATTATGATAAAGAAGTCGTCTATCCATAACGTTTGTTCGATATTATGATAAAGAAGTTGTTATCCATAACGTTTGTTCAATGTTATGATAAAGAAGTTGTCTATCCATAACGTTTGTTCAATATTATGATAAAGAAGTTGTTATCCATAACGTTTGTTCAATATTATGATAAAGAAGTTGTTATCCATAACGTTTGTTCAATATTATGATAAAGAAGTTGTTATCCATAACGTTTGTTCAATATTATGATAAAGAAGTTGTTATCCATAACGTTTGTTCAATGTTATGATAAAGAAGTTGTTACCCAAAGAAGTTGTTATTCATAACGTTTGTTCAATGTTATGATAAAGAAGTTGTCTATCCATAACGTTTGTTCAATATTATGATACAGAAGTTGTTATCCATAACGTTTGTTCAATATTATGATAAAGAAGTTGTTATCCATAACGTTTGTTCAATATTATGATAAAGAAGTTGTTACCCAAAGAAGTTGTTATCCATAACGTTTGTTCAATGTTATGATAAAGAAGTTGTTATCCATAACGTTTGTTCAATATTATGATAAAGAAGTTGTTATCCATAACGTTTGTTCAATATTATGATAAAGAAGTTGTCTATCCATAACGTTTGTTCGATATTATGATAAAGAAGTTGTTATCCATAACGTTTGTTCAATATTATGATAAAGAAGTTGTTATCCATAACGTTTGTTCAATATTATGATAAAGAAGTCGTCTATCCATAACGTTTGTTCGATATTATGATAAAGAAGTTGTTATCCATAACGTTTGTTCAATGTTATGATAAAGAAGTTGTCTATCCATAACGTTTGTTCAATATTATGATAAAGAAGTTGTTATCCATAACGTTTGTTCAATATTATGATAAAGAAGTTGTTATCCATAACGTTTGTTCAATATTATGATAAAGAAGTTGTTATCCATAACGTTTGTTCAATATTATGATAAAGAAGTTGTTATCCATAACGTTTGTTCAATATTATGATAAAGAAGTTGTTATCCATAACGTTTGTTCAATGTTATGATAAAGAAGTTGTCTATCCATAACGTTTGTTCAATATTATGATAAAGAAGTTGTTATCCATAACGTTTGTTCAATATTATGATAAAGAAGTTGTTATCCATAACGTTTGTTCAATATTATGATAAAGAAGTTGTTATCCATAACGTTTGTTCAATATTATGATAAAAAGTTGTTATCCATAACGTTTGTTCAATATTATGATAAAAAGTTGTTATCCATAACGTTTGTTCAATATTATGATAAAGAAGTTGTTATCCATAACGTTTGTTCAATATTATGATAAAGAAGTTGTTATCCATAACGTTTGTTCAATGTTATGATAAAAAGTTGTCTATCCATAACGTTTGTTCAATATTATGATAAAGAAGTTGTTATCCATAACGTTTGTTCAATATTATGATAAAGAAGTTGTTATCCATAACGTTTGTTCAATATTATGATAAAGAAGTTGTTATCCATAACGTTTGTTCAATATTATGATAAAAGTTGTTATCCATAACGTTTGTTCAATATTATGATAAAGAAGTTGTTATCCATAACGTTTGTTCAATATTATGATAAAGAAGTTGTTATCCATAACGTTTGTTCAATATTATGATAAAGAAGTTGTTAGCCATAACGTTTGTTCAATATTATGATAAAGAAGTTGTTACCCAAAGAAGTTGTTATCCATAACGTTTGTTCAATGTTATGATAAAGAAGTTGTTATCCATAACGTTTGTTCAATATTATGATAAAGAAGTTGTTATCCATAACGTTTGTTCAATATTATGATAAAGAAGTTGTTATCCATAACGTTTGTTCAATATTATGATAAAGAAGTCGTCTATCCATAACGTTTGTTCAATATTATGATAAAGAAGTTGTTATCCATAACGTTTGTTCAATGTTATGATAAAGAAGTTGTCTATCCATAACGTTTGTTCGATATTATGATAAAGAAGTTGTTATCCATAACGTTTGTTCAATGTTATGATAAAGAAGTTGTCTATCCATAACGTTTGTTCAATATTATGATAAAGAAGTTGTTATCCATAACGTTTGTTCAATATTATGATAAAGAAGTTGTTATCCATAACGTTTGTTCAATATTATGATAAAGAAGTTGTTATCCATAACGTTTGTTCAATATTATGATAAAGAAGTTGTTATCCATAACGTTTGTTCAATGTTATGATAAAGAAGTTGTTATCCATAACGTTTGTTCAATATTATGATAAAGAAGTTGTTATCCATAACGTTTGTTCAATATTATGATAAAGAAGTTGTTAACCAAAGAAGTTGTTATCCATAACGTTTGTTCAATGTTATGATAAAGAAGTTGTTATCCATAACGTTTGTTCAATGTTATGATAAAGAAGTTGTTATCCATAACGTTTGTTCAATATTATGATAAAGAAGTTGTTATCATAACGTTTGTTCAATATTATGATAAAGAAGTTGTTACCCAAAGAAGTTGTTATCCATAACGTTTGTTCAATGTTATGATAAAGAAGTTGTTATCCATAACGTTTGTTCAATATTATGATAAAGAAGTTGTTATCCATAACGTTTGTTCAATATTATGATAAAGAAGTTGTTATCCATAACGTTTGTTCAATATTATGATAAAGAAGTTGTTATCCATAACGTTTGTTCAATATTATGATAAAGAAGTTGTTATCCATAACGTTTGTTCAATATTATGATAAAGAAGTTGTTATCCATAACGTTTGTTCAATATTATGATAAAGAAGTTGTTATCCATAACGTTTGTTCAATATTATGATAAAAAGTTGTTATCCATAACGTTTGTTCAATATTATGAAAAAAAGAAGTTGTTATCCATAACGTTTGTTAAATATTATGATAAAGAAGTTGTTACCCAAAGAAGTTGTTATCCATAACGTTTGTTCAATATTATGATAAAGAAGTTGTTATCCATAACGTTTGTTCAATATTATGATAAAAAGTTGTTATCCATAACGTTTGTTCAATATTATGATAAAAAGTTGTTATCCATAACGTTTGTTCAATATTATGAAAAGAAGTTGTTATCCATAACGTTTGTTCAATATTATGATAAAGAAGTTGTTACCCAAAGAAGTTGTTATCCATAACGTTTGTTCAATGTTATGATAAAGAAGTTGTTATCCATAACGTTTGTTCAATGTTATGATAAAGAAGTTGTCTATCCATAACGTTTGTTCGATATTATGATAAAGAAGTTGTTATCCATAACGTTTGTTCAATATTATGATAAAGAAGTTGTCTATCCATAACGTTTGTTCGATATTATGATAAAGTTGTTATCCATAACGTTTGTTCAATATTATGATAAAGAAGTCGTCTATCCATAACGTTTGTTCAATATTATGATAAAGAAGTTGTTATCCATAACGTTTGTTCAATGTTATGATAAAGAAGTTGTCTATCCATAACGTTTGTTCGATATTATGATAAAGAAGTTGTTATCCATAACGTTTGTTCAA